ATGGGTACAATATATATCAGAATAGGTAAGCTGATGAATGTGGATCACCTCAAGAAGGAGGGAAAGTGTTTTAACTGTAGCCAAAAGAGTCACATAGTATGAGATTGCCCCCAGAAGAAGAATAAGTGCACTTATGAAGACATATGAGTGCAGATTGCTGAATTGATGAAGGAAGAAGAAGATTTTAGATCAGACACTAAGGCTGAGGAGGTAAAAGACAGGGCTGAGCAGTGAGCAATTCTGCTGGCTCAGCCAAAGAAATGAGTAGTAGGTCACTATCAGATACTGGATAGACTGACTCTTTCTCTGTAGTACCACTTATGTCTAAAATATGCATGCATTCAAATATATCTGACACTACTACTCCTATATTAGAATTGCCTAAGGAACTGACTCAATCACCTATGAGCCAAATGGGGGCAGAAAGCCTTATTAATATATTATCACCAAATAATGGAAAAGCTAACATTATTCCTATAATATCAAAATCACCTAACAAACTGGCTCAACTATCTGTGGGCTGAACAGGAGCAGAGAGCTCCATTGGTTGGCTAAAACCATTCAACACTGAGTGGACTTGATAAGCCATCAAGGATATGAAAGACAAAGTAGCAGCAAAAACTATACTCAAGAACTGGATATACAAAACCCAAGCTGAGGAAGTAATTGATGATATAATCAAAGAAATAAAGAAGACTGAATGATATTGAGCCTTGGAGTGGCTCGATGAACTTCAGAGACTATAGAAGTTTATCTGACAGTCCAGAACCTCAGATTAGAACCTATTGGCCAAAGCCTGAATTGAAACACTCATATCCTGGAGTGCTCATACAGTCACCACATTGATCAACAGTGGATGCACTAGAAGTTCAATTAATCATACCTTTATCACCAAGCATAATCTTCCTACTCAGGCCACAGCAGCATCTATCTCAGTCTACAATACAGATAGAACAAAGAATCAAGCTGGTTCAATCATCAAGTATATAGAACTCAGACTCACCATTGGGAATCATTCTGAATGAATTGACTTGGTGGTAACTGATCTAAGAACCAAGGAGATCTTTCTTGGTCATGATTGGCTTATATGCCACAATCTACTCATTAACTGAAAAATCAGACACATCATTTTCACTAGATGTCATTGCTAGAAGATCTCATTTGAACTACTCAATGAAGACTCTAAGAATCAATGGGATAAAGAAATGGAAGATAGTGAGACAATTCTCACTGTCAATCTGCAGAAGGTCATTTGCATCTAAGCCATACACCATGCAAATGATCTGGCAGCAAAAGCCAATGCTGACAAGGAGAAAAAAAACATTTGAAGAAATAGTACTCAAGTGGGCACAGGACTACTGAGACTTATTCAAAAAAGAGAGTTTTGATGAATTACCTGACTCAAAGCCTTGAGACTATGCCATAGAACTGATTCCCAATATGAATACCAACCTAAATTGTAAGACTTATCTACTTAGCAATAATGAATAATAAGAACTGGATAAGTTCCTTGATAAAAACTTATCCAGCAGAAGGATTTGACCATCAAAGTCCTCAATGGCCTCTCCCTTCTTCTTCATCAAGAAGAAGGACAGAAAACTCTGACCAGTACAGGATTATCAGAAGCTTAATGAGATGATGATCAAGAATCATTACCTGCTTCTGTTGATCTCTAAATTGATGGACAAACTTTGCAGCACCAAATATTATACCAAATTAGATGTCCAATGGAGATACAACAATATATGCATCAAAGAAGGAGATAAATGAAAGGCCACTTTTCAGACTAACTATAGATTGTTCGAACTGACAGTTATGTTCTTTGGATTTATAAATTCATCTGCAACCTTCCAGTGGATGATGAATGATATCTTCAAGGATCTCATTGCCATAAGGAAGGTCATGATTTACTTAGATGACATTTTAATTATGTCCAAAACCAAGGAGGAATATTAAAAGCTGGTACAACAGATACTAGTCTTGATGAGGAAGCATCACCTCTTCTTCAAGGCTGAGAAGTGTGAATTCGAGGTACTGGAAACTGAGTACCTCAGAGTCATCATCAGCAAAGAAAGCATCCGAATGGATCCTGTCAAGGTAGCAGGGGTAACCAAATGGCTGGAGCTGATCAAGAAGAAGAAACTTCAGTCATTCTTCAGCTTCACTAACTTCTATTAGCAATTCATTTGGGACTACAGCAAAATAGTCCAACCTATGACACAATTAACTGGAAATACACTATGGAACTAGGGACCATCACAGCAATCAGCATTTGATGATCTTAAACACTGATTAGCTGAGGATGTCATCCTAGCAATACCCACTCAGGATAGAAAGTTTCAAGTAGAAGCTGACTCTAGCAAAGGCACTATTGGAGCTGTCTTCTCTCAGGAACAAGATAGCAAATAGTGATCAGTCACATTTTTGTCAAAGACACTCAGTATTACAGAGTGCAACTATGAGATTTATAACAAGGAACTCCTCACTATAATGCTTGCTCTAGCCAAATGGCAGCATTATCTCATTGGAGCAATTCAGACTTTTGAGATCTGGACAGATCATCAGAACCTCTGATACTTCTGACTCCCACAAAAGCTTAATTGCTGATAAGTCCAATAGATCACAGAATTATCTGAATACAAATATATGCTGCACTATAAAGCTGGTGTAGCAAACAAGAAGACTGACTTTCTCAGCTGCAGAACAGACTATAGCCAAGGAGAAGATGACAATAAAGATGTCATACTATTATGACCAGAACACTTCTGAGCATTGATTATGCTTACAGAAGAAGAAATACATGAGTGTATTAAGAGTGCAACCTAAGATCCCTATAAATAAGATCAATGAATTACTCTATCTCTCAACTATGAATGGGAACTAAAGAAAGAAAGGGGATTGATCTGCTATAATAGGCAGATCTATATTTCTAGAGATTAAGGACTTCATGGTGATATCATTGCCACCTGTCATGACCGTGTGACTGCTGGACATCCAGATATTGCAAAGATGAAGAAGCTTATACTATGGGAATATTAGTGGTCTAAGATGAACTATAATATCATTTGATATGTCAAAGCTTATGAAGTTTGTCAATGAGACAAATCTTCAATGCAATCTTGAGCCACACTACTGCACTTGAATGAGGTACTCTTATTGCCATGGACCCACATTTCAGTGGACATGATAACAAAACTTCCAAAAAGTGATAGTTATAATGCTATCATCATAATCATCAATCACTTCTCCAAAGCAATCATTTCAATCACTTGCTCAACAGAATTAACATCAGAGAGATGGATGAAAATTCTATAGGATGAAGTCTATGCAAAATATGGCATGCCACAGATCATCATTTCAGATAGAGGACCACAATTTGCCTTCAAATTCCTCAATGACTTGTATCGACTTCTCAATATCAAACAAAATATATCAATAGTATACCACTCTCAAACAGATAGCCAGATAGAATGGGTAAACCAAGAAGTCAAAAAGTATCTATGACTTTTCATCAACTATTGATAGGACAATTGGATGAAATAGTTAGCACTATTATGATTTTTACTATTTTTCTTTCCTTTTTCCTTAATTTATTCAGGATTGACCCCTATTTCTGCTTAGTCAGGGCACCCAGACCTAGTGCTTAGGATCATGGGAATGCTTAGTCATCAGCACTGCCCTGATTCTGGTCACTGCTGTGAAGTCATGCAACAGCACAAAGACAGAGAAGCCTCTTTTATCTTTGTGCAGCAGTAACAGCACAACAGCAGGACAATACCTTTTGTAGGTATCTTAGTAATGCTAGACAATACACTACACAGCACTGGTAAGGACAATTAGATAGTTATATTCTTGGAATGATAAAGACTTAGTATTTAAGTAGTGTAGCTCTCACTGTAATACCCCAGCTTCGAGCTAAAGTTTATTCTTCACCATCCTATCTCGAGCAACTTGTAAAATATCTTGATCACACAATGCTGATAGCACATCAGTGAACTCTAACAGTATAACCTGAAGTACAAGGTTCTGTTAGTTTATCATGTGTTATCAGTTATATGGAGTTTGGGCTTAACAATTAGCTTAAAGCTTCTAGCTTCTCTTTCTCAAGCCCAATTGTGCTGAGAAACTGAATGCTTCCTGTGCTTAATCCCTCCAATCCAAACTTCACTTATAAGTTCTTTGAACTCTTGGCTTCCATTATAAGAACTTTGATCAGTTTATTGGTGATCATACAGCTGTGCCATGAACATTAATCAATCACTGTCTGGGCTATCTATCATTATTAGAAATTTCAACATATCTGAACTATTCTCTATAATGTCATGCTAAACCTCCCTCTCCATAACATCCCTGCCTCTGCTTGACTCTCAACAATCTGACAGTCCTTTCAATCCAAAGAAGGAGTCACACCCAAAGCTGTCTCTGGGAGCTCAGCTGAAGAGCATTCTAAGAAAGAAGAGGAGCAGCACACATACCTCCCATGACCCCTGTCAGCAGTCATCTGAGACTCTGGAAACTCTTAGGCTACAGAGTTTTGATGACCCAGACCTGACACCTCCATCTTGTCCCTTAAATACAGCATCACAACAAGAACAATAACTCTCATTTCTAGAAGAGGCATTAGCCATCATGCTAGAGACTCTCTTAATGCCACACAGGTGGCTCAAGGAATCAGAAATATCAGAGGCTCTAGGTTCTGACACACTATATCAGTATGAAGCAGAAGCATTGACTATAGAACAGAGATTGATGATGATCTTTATTTCAACAATGACAGCAATGAGCATCAGTACTGGCAAGCCACTATCAGAGAAGCTGACCAGTTGGAGTGCTATGCAGTTAGCAATAATACTAGCCAAATAGAGAGCATATGAGAGGTACCAAGAGCAGCACAACCAGCCAGCCCCATTGACCTGGTCCTCCCCCAAGAGGACCAAGTTTGATGTTCCAATAACATTTCCAAGTACCTTCAGGAGCAGGCATAGATCAACAATGAAATCATGAGGGAGAACACTCTCTTTGGGAGATATCTCCAAGCACAGGCAGCAGAAGAGCAGAGAAGGAACACCAAGAGTAACAGAACCAGTATGCTCATTGGTACTACCACTAACAGCATATCCAACTCTCCATTCCAGAAACCTACCACTCTCACTGCTGAGCCTGACCCTTGGGCAGGACCTCCTGAAGGAGTCATCCACATGAATGAGGTCCACTGAAGAGCATCACCTGATCTTGACAATAACTGCCTGCTATCTTATAGAACTGACACTATTGCAGAGACTGACAATATTCTCATCCAAGGAGATGGAATATCAGCAGACTGAGAAACTATCAGAGGAGATGATGAGAGCATTGACCTCACAGGTGATATTCAGAGGTTTCTCAACAGGAACTTTGCTGCCCTTTTTCTCAATCCACAGTTCTACCAAAACTTCCATTGGTATTGCAGAGCAATGGTGGCAGTAGCAGTGTGAGCAGAAGCTAAGAAGCAACAGAGGCAGCCTGAGCAGCAGCCTACTCCTTGACTCAGACCCAATGATGCCAGATCCAGCATACAGTTCCAGTATGGCTGTCCCAGAGGTCTATGACCCATGTGACAGTTCCCTCCTCGAAGAGGATGCAAGCAGCAAGACCACCAGTGGGGACACAGATGACAAGAAGGAGGAGGATCATGATGAGAGAGTCGAGGATCCTCTAACTGACTGGGTCAGTTCATGGAACATACACATGCTTGAAGAGAAGCAGAAAGAATTAGCATGGGAGACATGCCAGAAGGACTTTATAGAGCTGTACCAGAATGGTACAACTATATTATGGATGGATGACACCTAGTTAGTGTCACCTATAGGACAAAGGTACACTGCCACTGATTATATTGAGCATGCAGAAATTTTATAATATGCAGCCACTGAGCAGGCCATTTTTATTTATAATAAAAGATATTTAGAGCATCAAATGCAAGCATTACTGCTGTACAGGCTTAAGTATAGCACTATACCAAGACTTTAAATGCCGAGTGTTGTGCTAAACAAGCTGGTTAATATAGCATCCTCAATTTGAATAATGTCATCAAGATATTTGTTCACTACCTTAGCCATCTGAAGCACAGCATCTCAGCTTGCCAGAAGCCGATCCCTGCTGAGTAACCACTATCCAAACTCATGGCAGCTACCAGTTCAAAAACCATTTGCCAGACAATCACTGCTAGATAAAGCTGAAGACAGTGAAGAAAAAGTACCTGAGGAGCTCATTCTCACAAAAGATGACTCTATAGCAATTGCTCAAGGCTGAACCATCAAGAACAGGCAGATCATGCAAAAAGAAGCACCACCATCAGAAAGTCCCATCATCAATGATGGCTCCCTTCATTTGTTTTCAGGACCTCCAAGTGGCTGGACAGGACTGCCCCCTAGTGGACTTCTGAACCTAATGCCTGCTCTCAATGTCAGCACTCAAATTCTTCAGATCAAACCAACTCTTGTATCCAAGCCTCATCCCTTTCAAGGAGCATCTGACAATATTGATTGCTTTCTAGTTAACTGTGATCAATACTTCCAGGTGTTTACCTCATACTTCCTCACTGACATATATAAGATGACATTTGCAGTGACTCACATAGTAGACAAGACAAAAACATGGTGGATTCTTATTTCTCCCACATTTTAGTCCATCAATAGACTCCATCATCAATACCCTTCATGACTAGTCTTTAAACAAATGATCAACAATAAGTTCATGTTATAATTTTTCTATTCTTTCTCTCAATTAACCCCTATTTATGCTTAGTCAGAGTGCTAACACAGGTGCTTAAGACTATGAGACAAGGCTTAGTCACTACAACTAGCCAAGTCTGTCATTGTCTTTCAACACAACAGAGTTGCCTGACAATGCACAATTATTCTTTTATATACAGTAGTAACATTCAAGGATAATAGGCACAAAGGACTCAACAACATGCAATTAGCAGTAGTATATTTAGAACAGAACTTGTACAGTACTTAAGAGGCTCACTCTTGCTAGTAATCCTCAGCTTTAAGCTAAAGTTTATTTCATCTCATTCTACTCTCAAGCTAGTTTTTCAGGCCTTGTGACACACTATTCTGATTATACATCAGTGGACTTGATTGTCTTATCTAAAGTGCAAGATAGCAGTCATTTATCACATATAATCAGTTTATATGATGCTTGAGTCTAACAATTAGCTTGAAGCTGCTTCTTCCCTTTTCTCACACTAGTTAGTGCAGAGAAAACCAAATGCCCTCTATCAATTCATCAGACCTGAACTTTGACCAAGAGTTTTTTGAACTCCTCTCCTCTATCATTGGAACATTGTTGGGATTGTTGGTGATCATTTAGCTGTGCTGAGGACACCATTCAATTACTGCCTAGGCCATCAGACACTACAACGAGTTTCAGCATATCTGACATATCTTGTAAAATGTAACCTCCAATCTCTCTCTACATGACATCCCCAAATCCCAATGAACATTCCATCAGCCTCCAACAAGCTTCTTACCAGAAGCTGGACCTAGCAGTCTGCATTAAAGAGATGTTCAAAAAGAAGAAAGAAACAGATACCTCTCTTGATGATCCAGCAGAGACCATGACCCTCATATTGCAGGATTCCAAAACCTATAGACCCCAGGGCTGCCTCCTGACCATGAGGATGAAGACATCTCAGGAGACTTCTTTCAGCAGTCTCTCTCTTCTGACAATTCCACCACCTCTTGAACTAGTAGGATTGCTGACCATATCTAGGACTCCCTCGATACTGCTCAGATAGCTCTAAGACTCCAACAAACATCTCCTGGCAGCCAGTCTCACAGCCCCCCTGCCTCTGATCAGTATTCTATTGAGACAAGCAGCAGGTTGGAGCAGTCCTCTTTGGATTGGCTCAATGATGAGTGACAAAACTGAGAAACCCAAGATGAGATCATTCACCAGTACTTCTCCACCTGAGACACTAATGTCTCTTTCAACTATAATAAGGCCCTCCAATAGGAAGAGCAGTGATAGCAAACTGCACTGCTATTGGTTTGCAGCAAGCTTGAGGAGCATATCATCAAAAGTGGCCAGTGAAGATGAGAGGCTAAGAAGTATGACAGATAGCATCAGGAAGAGCAGCAAAGAGTTGAAAGGGCTTGACTGAAAAGGACTGATATTTCTAACTGGTATGGACTCTGGCCTGAGGTCACATCCATACTTACACTAGTACACACTGACCAATCCCTCTCAATTTCAGTCTTCTAAGAGCCCAGCATCAGCTTTGATCCTGTTATGATTTTTCTTTTCCTTGGAAATAACCTTTATCTTTGCTTAGTCAGAGCTCTTAGGCCAGCACTTAGGACCATGGGAACGCTTAGTCAGTAGCCCAGTCAGTCATGGTCTTATCACACTGCTGTGTGCTATAAAGGGAGAGACAATGCTTCTTTTGTCTCCAGACTGTGGTGCAGCAGTAACAGCACAACAGCAAGACAACAGCTTTTGTGGAGAGCCTGGCAACAGCAGAGGTAACAGCTCTATGAGAGACAATATCTTTTGTGAACACTTATTTATAGCCAGATAACAGAATAGTATTTAAATAGCACAACTTTTGCTGTAATAGCCCCAGCATTAAGCTAAAGTTTATTCTTCACCATCTACTCTCGAGCTCAAGCTTCTTGCCAATGCCTTGACTATATAACTCTATTAACACATCAGTGAACTCAATCAGTCTAACCCAAAGTGCAAGGTTCTGAACTGTTTATCATGTGTTGATAGTCATATGAAATTTGGGCTTAACAATTAGTTTAACACTTATCATTCTCTTCCTTAAGCCTAATTGTGCTGAAAAACTGAATACCCCCTGTCCTTAACCCTTCTGACCCAAACTTTACCCACAAGTTCTTTGAACTTTTGGCTTCTATCATAGAAATCTTGATCAGTTTATTGATGATCATACAGCTGTGCTGAGGACACCAATCAATCATAGCTTGGACAATCAGGCACTATCATGAATTCTAATACATTCAAACTATCCTCTGAAATGTCACACTAGACCTCCCTCTCCACAACATCTCTGCCTCTGCCCAACAGTTCTTCTGATCCACAGAAGGACTCAACCCTGAAAGTCTCTCTGGGAGCTCGACTGAGGAACATCCTAGAGAAGAAGAGGAGCAGCATCAGCAGCACACATACCCTCTGTGACCCCCAACAGCAGTCATCTGAGACTCTGGAAACTCTTGGGCTACAGGGTTTCAACAACCCAGATCTGACACCTCCATTCCATTCTCTGACCACATCATCCCAGCTATAAGGACAGCAACCTCCATCTCTAGCACTGGCATTAGGCACCATACCAGAGACTCCTTGGATGCTTCATAGATGGCTCAAGGAACAGATAGTTCTAGAGACCATGGGTCCTGAAGAACAGCATCAGCACAAAGTAGAAATACTGATCACAGAACAGAAGTCGATAATGACCTCTACTGGAATGACGACAGCAATGAGTGCCACTGATGGCAAACTGCTGCCAATGAGGCCAACTGGTTGGAGTGCTGCATAGCTAGCAGTAATACTGGCCAAGCAGAGGGCATACAAATAGTTTCAACAAGAATACGATCAGCCTCACACACCTCTCCAGTCCATCTCAGAGAGAACTAAATTTGACATACCCATAACCTTCCTGAATACAGGCAGGAGCAGACACACATTGATAATGAAATCACGAGAGAGAATGCCCTCTTTGGATGGTACCTCTGGATATGAGCAGCAGAGAAGCATAGGAGAAATGAGGGGGGAAGTTGAACTAGCACCCTTGTCAGAACCACTATCCTCGACTCTCCATTCTGGGAATCTGCCACTTCCATGACAGAGCCTGACCCCTGGGCAGACTCTAATGGGAATGAGGGGCCAGCACCCCTGGACAACAGTCACCCATTATCTTATAGGACTGATACCATTGTAGAGACAGACAACATCCCAATCTGAGGAGGAGGAATACCTGAGGACAGAGGGACAATCAGAGAGGATGATGAGAGTATCAACCCCACTGGAGATCTCAAGAAGTTTCTTGATGGAAACTTCACAGCCCTTTCCCTCAATCTGAAGTTTTATAGAAACTTCTGCTGGTATCACAGAGCAATGGTGCTGGCAACAACAACAAGTGTCGAGGAGGCACCAGAGCAGCCTGAGTGACAGCCTACTCCTCACCCTAGACCCAACAATGCTAGTCTCAGTATGCAGCCCCAGTCCAGTCATCCCAGAGGTCTTCGACCCATATGACTGTTAAGCTCAAATCCCACATGACTATCAACATATGATAAACAGTTCAGAACCTCACACTTTGGGTTAGACTGACTGAGTTCACAAAGTTAATAGTGATAGTGGTTCAAGGCACAAGAAGCTTGAGCTTGAGAGTAGATGGTGAAGAATAAACTTTAGCTTAATGCTGGAGCTACTACAGCGAAAACAGTGCTACTTAAATACTGTTCTGTTATCTGGCTATTAATAGAAGTTCACAAAAAATATTGTCTGTTGTAGAGCTGTTATCTCTGCTGTTGCCAGGCTCTCCACAGAAGCTGTTGTCTTGCTGTTATACTGTTACTGCTGCATTGCCATTTGAGAACAAAAAGAGCATTGTCTCTCTCTTCATAGCACACAGCAGTGTGATAAGATGATGACTGACTAGGTTGCTGAGCTAAGTGTTCTCATGGTCCTAAGCACTGGCTTAAGCACTCTGACTAAGCAAAGATAGGGGTTATTTTTGAAGGGAAAAAGAAAAGAAAATAGGAAAAATCATAACATTACCCCCTCCTTAAGACCATCGTCCTGATGGTTAAGTTAGGATAAGT